ATATTATTTTACTATGACCCAGACTAAACTTATTAAAATTATAAAAGTGAAGATTTAAATATTTTTTAAGATTTTTCTTTCTACTAAAAAATAAAGGGAATACTTTTATTTTATATAATGTTAACATTCCAATACATTTTCATTGAAAATATTTAAACACGGCCCTAACAACATAACTATTCATTAGCAATTTTTAAAATTTATTTTATTTACAGATTATTCTTAATATTTTAGTAAAATAAGCAACACCAATAGTAATTGCTCTATAATAGAACTTCTATTTCTATACTACCATTTATTATTAACATTACTTCTAAATTTTCTTTTATTATACTATATTAATTATTCATTATCAATAATATTATGACATTTTAACACTTGTTCATTTTTTTTCCCGAAAATGTTTTTACTATTTCTTACTTTAAAATAAAATAATTTATAATAAAATAACAATAAATTAATAAATTTGGAATGTTCGATTGTTAAATCCAAAATTAGCATGATGCTAAACATACTAAGAGCTTTTTCTTGAACGTTAAAAAAAGACAGATAAACTAAAATGCTGAAAAAAATGTAATTATTAATTTACAAAATCAATAACATTACAGCTCATAAACCAACTGATACACATAATTAATTGCCATTGCTAATATAATTAAACTCCATCATGATTTTGTTTAAACATAAATTGAACTGATTTATAAGCATGAAACACTATCCCTATCTTATCTTTTAAATTTGAATTTAAAATTACTTATACATAAAATATTTATCTGAAAGAGTTAACTATATTTTTTAATTATATATATATAATCTATGTGTAAAGAATCAATAAATTATGTTCAACAAATTTGAATTGTAAATATACAAATCTAATTTTTATATTTTGAAAATTTATTGAAAAATAACAAAAATGAGTAAATTATAAAAATAATAGGCTATAAATCATAAAGTAATTACAAAAAATATAAAATATGTGAATATTGTAACAAAATTTAAAAAAGAAATGTATATTAATTAAATTAGTTGAAGTAAATATTTTATTTCAATCCATAAATCAACCAAGGTCTGGTGTATATTATTTAAATTTTAAATTAAAAATAAATAAATAAAATTAAAAGTTGATCATCTTAATTTTATTTTCATAAAAAATATCAACAAATTAAAAAAAAATATATATACACAATCGAGTTGTAATAATTCGAAGTTAAAGGTCAATAAATATTCATTTTGAGATATGTATTATTTGAAATACCTAACTCAAATTTATCAAAATTAAATCAAAACTTCGAGTTAAATAATGAAATATTATTTTAAAATTTTATGATAAAAAAACATTATGATAAATATATGTACATAAATGTTATCACAAAATCTTCTGATTTGCCTATGACTTTGAATATAAAAACATCCATGCCTTCGACAGATTCAACAAAATACCTAACAGTTTGTAATGATGGCATGTCTTGGTTCACCGTAATCATATTTAAAGTTCTTTCAGGGTCATCAGGAATCACTATTTCATATATTTATATCCATGATTTCGTTATTAGTTAATAGTTTATTGACTGCAACATTATCATAGATTGTAGCATAAAATTGAAATGCAGTCTGTTGATTGATATTAAGTTTATCGGCTACAATTTACCAATCATATATATATATATATATATATATCACTGCTCTTCATTAAAATAGATTCAGCTTTTTTGAAGCAATTGACAATTGTATTTGGTTGTACATTACCATACATACTAACCAATATACTTCTATTATTGTACATGTACTAATAATCAGTTTCTATCTACCTGTTTAATCTTTATTATACTTTACAGATATAACAGATATAATAATATACTTTGATTAAGCTATTTATCACAATTTTATATTCGAGTTCAAAGACTTATAATACTTTGAATGTTATGAGAATTGATAGGGGAATCATAAAAAAAAATTGAGTTGTCAAGTTTTTTGAGTTATCGCAACTTGAATGTTATTGTAAAGACTAATATATTATAAAAAATAATTTTTGGACCAATCACTCACAATAATTCTACTTACATGCAATAATTTAAATTTATAAATATTAGTGGTATACATGGATGCATTCATATATTGCTTTAAATTAAATATTAAAATACTGTTGTAGAAAGTAACTATAAAATAATAGTTAATTTCAATGATTATACATACTACAAATAATTAAATTTAAAAAAATAAAAATAAATGAATAAAATATAATATAAATAAAAATACATACTACAATAAATAATAGAATTAAAAAAGCTAGGAATATGAAATATTAAGAGATTCAAAAAAATTAAATACTGATATTTGTAAATAATAAATAAATATATAGTCTAATAATAAAAATTAATAAACTTTATTATAAATTATAACCTTATTTTTGATACCAATAAATTATCTTAAATTAAAGTTTAATGATAAAAATAGAGCAGAATTTGGAATTATTATCATATATAAAAAATTATTTTATTCTATTTAGATCTATTTCTTAGGTAGGTAAGTATTTTTTTCAGTAGGTCTATTTCATTCTATTTATATTTATATAATAAAATATTTATAATTTGATACTTTTTAGGCTTTAATATTATTAATAAGCTGTAGCATATTTCCAAATATTTATACAAATATTTGAAACCTAAAAAAGTAACAAAAAAAAAAATTATTTGAATTATAAAGTATTTCAAATGATTTAGTGTATTGAATCCATGAAAATTTTATTTTTTATAAATAATACAAAATATATGTCATAAAATAAACCAACAATGAACAATTAACAGAAACAAATAATTTTGTTTAAGTGAAAAATAAACATAAAAATATTACACGTAAGTTAAATTACAATATTATTAAAATCATAAACATTATAAAACATTATAAAATGTAAATCAATTTTAAATTTACATTTAAACAATACAATTATAAAAATTATATAAGGTTATTTAGTTTCGCAAAAATTTAAAAAAATAAAACTACTATTTTACTAAAATAGTTTTTAGATCAAGGTCATTTAAAAATCTTAGCAATTAGTTCATAGAACTCTCTCTCTCTTAATGACTTATTCAATTTAATTTTAATATTTTTTATTCTTTAATACTTTTTGTAAAAAGCTGATCAGTAACACTGTTAAAATTGGAACACATACACTTCAAGATAACTTAAAAATACCTATATATGTACCTATAGAACATTCTGCACTACCCACATACAATTTTAAAAATCTAACGAAGAACAAAAATTGGCAGTATTCCATAACACTATAATGTCTTAAAAACTCATTACTCAAATTACAATGTAATTTAAGATGGAAAATTAATTATATAAAACTATAAATTAAAAAATTACAATACACACATAATTATATTAAAAATAATACCTATTCAAGGTCATTCAATTGTATACTACAAAAATAGTAAGGATTACCTGATTACATCAAATTTAATAAAGTTCCTACTTCTGTTTCAAAATATTTTGTATAATCTTGTATAATATAATTTTGTAATTTTTCAAGAAAAAAAATCAAGTAATAATTATGCATAATTATATCTACCTGAAAGTCAAAATTATTTCTTATTTATAAATTTATGTTCACTGGTACACATTAATTATATTTACTCAAAACAGTGTATTTAATATATATTTATTAAATTTTATTGAATATGAGTTTTTGGATGTAATATTTAAATTACAAAATAATTTTATAATATATTTAAAAAAAAGAATTGATAATTTCAAACCAAAAACTATAACAATACCTAAAATCAAATATAAATAATGCATACCCTTAAATGTATTTATTTTTAATATGCTTTAGAATGGTTTTACTATAAATAAGGATATTTTTATTATATAAACTATTTTCACTAAATCCAGTTATTATGATATTAGTAAGTATAATATGTTTATATGAGAAAATGCAAAATAATGTAATAAATATGATTTTACATTTTTGTTAAGAATATTATTTTGTGCTCATCCTATTTTAAATGACCAAAAGGACCAGCTCATTTATATTGCTTGAACTATATCTTCTATAAGTTCACATCACCAGTATCCCTCAAATGGTACTTCAATTTGACCCTGAGATCATGGAAATGTGATTGTGAATGACTATTATTGATAGTACCTGTCCCAATAATGACAGTAACATGATTACAATCACTAAACCTTTCTTTTTACTTTTTTTTTTTACTAATATAACCTTGATACTTTTTCAAAAAATTTATTATTTCAATTCAAAATTGATTGAAAAACAAAGTACAGTTTAACAATTTTAATTAGAACTTACAATCTAATTAAAATGGATATTTAACATGTCATATGCATCAAATTTTGCTCAACATTTTGAAATTTATAATAAGTAAAGAATAATAAGGAGAGGTTTTATACATTAAAAATAGATAAACATTTGTTTTAAAATAGATATATTATGTTATATTATATTATTATTATGTATACTGACTGTTCAAATTCAAAAACAAAATGTTTAAAAAAATTCTAGGAGAATAGCTATACATAAATTATAACTAAAAATATAATTAATAAATAGTAGATTTACAATATGTTTTATAGCCATTACAACATAAACACATATATTATAGTTATACAGGTAATTTGAAATATTAAATTTGATTCTGCACAAATTTTCTATACAACTCACAAATTTTTATTTGTAATTTTTAAGGAAAATTATAATAGTAAAATAAAATGCGTTTTTTTTTTTTTTGTATAAATCAATTAAAAAAAATAAAAAGTTTCTAGGAATGTGTAACAAAAGTTTTTTGAATTCAAAATCATCAGTTTAAAACCAATGAAAGACTAATTATTATAAAAACTACTTAATAATACATACAAAAATCAAAACTATACAATATGTTAATATATAAATAGTCCTAATGTATTATTAACTTTTATTTTAAATAACATTTCACCAAATAAGATACAAAATAAGAATTTTAACTTAATATACTTCTTACCTGAGTTATTTGTTTCTGATGTTTTACTCTTATGTTCTTCTGAATCTGAATATCGACGATGATCAGACTCTTTCAGTGATAGTTGTCCCTTCCATGATCTTCTATTGTCCATTGTTAATTAAGTATTTTTAATATTGTACTCAAATAAAAATGTCATAGCCTATGAATATTAACATAGCTATGGTACATAATTTGTCCACGTAATTCAACAATGTTGCAAGGCAAGACAAAATCGTATTGCACCTAAAATAGGTAAAAAAAAATATAAATTAAAATGTTGAAGTTAATTTTTCTTAAAATATAAATATTTAAACATTTCTTATTAATAATAATATATAGTTTCCATTTATTTTTTTAACACAGTTTTAATGGAACCAAATTTAGTCTTATAAAAAAAAATCAATGAGCAATGAACTATCAATGGGTAAAAAAAACTCTTGTCTCTTAATTTCCGACATATATGATAAATTTATAAATAAATAACACATTTTAAAATTATTTCATAAAAATGTTCTTAGTTCAATTTTATATTTATAAGGAACTTACAAATGAATAAATAATTTATCTTAAAAATGCTTCATTAACATAGATATTTTCACATCTAATAATTTAATAAATGTTATTATTCACATTAGTAATAAAAAAAACCTACAATTTCAACAAAAAAAGCAACTGGATTTATATGTTAAATATAAATTATATTATTAAAGTTTCAACAATTCAACAATATTAATTGTTAAAATAATAAATAAAATATGCTTAAATATACATACTTAGTTATGGGTTACATGAACGATGAATGACTATTGAGTTAATTAAACTATATAGCTAACTAACTCTGTTAGCTTTCAAAGGTTGTTTACATTTCTCTACCGGTTCACACATGTTTATACATGGCAAAAAAAAATCATTTTAAAAAATAGTAAAGTTCATATTAGCTACTGATATTGTTTCTATACATTTATACCCTGATTTATACATTGATTAGAATCAACTAATCAAATTATAAATTACTCGAGTTTACAATTTATACTATTGGACTCAAAAAGCATGATAAAAAATGTTTATCTCTATAAACTAAAACTTATTTAAATGCATAATATATATATATATATATGAATACATACATATTTAACAAATTATAATTTAATGACTTAAATAACAATTAAACAAAAATACAATGATCTGATACATCTCATATAATCTCAATATAACTGTTAATTCAAAACAGGTTTATTGACAAAATTGTTCATCTTTTATCAGATTAACTATTAATAAATCATAATGATTTTTTTTTAATGTGGTAATTTTTTTTATTATTTTAAAATGAACACATATTTAAGAATTCTACTAGTTTACCACAATAAATTACTGAAGACAAGTTACTTTTACATTAAAAGTTAATTGAGCTTTGGATATTTAACTAATCTACTTACCTATAAGAACCAAAAAAAACTTTTACAAGTATTATTTAAATTAGTATTCATAATCAATATAATTAAAATTGTTAAACTTAATTGGATTGTAAATATGATATTAAATACTTCCCAATTGTAAGCTATCTATAATTTTAACACAACATTTTTTATTATTTTAAAATATAGTAAAAATAACTACTCAAGTTTCAATAATGTTAATTTATTTTATAGAATATTTTTAACATATTTATTAATTCATTATTCATTTATAAATTATAATATTAACACTTGTATTTCTTTTTATATAATTAAAAAATATAGAATATTTTATAAAATATTTAGTAAATATTTTCAAGTTTGAAAACACTATAGAAAAAAATTACTTTAATATTTTGAAATAGATTCTATGAAACAATTAATAGATTGGACACATATTAAATATAGGTGGTAAAATATCATGATAATTTACATTTAATAACACAATATGTAAGTTTTAGTTAATGGTTGTCCAATTTAAAGTAGTAGCCAAATTAATTAAATATTAATAAAAATTTCATAACCAAAATGTTGCTACTAAGGTTCTTTAAAAAATGAAATGTACGAAGAAAGTTTTAAATTTAAATATATTAAACATTTATTTAAGATTTATAAATACATTTTTTAATTCAAACTGGTCTAATTTACAAATAAAATAATACAAACTAACCATTTATTTATTTCTATACATAAACTATTAGTTTATTTATTTATAAATAAAAAACAAAAATGCATATGGTACGAATTGTATTATTATCTTCTTATTAAGTTTAAAAAATGATAAAGTGCCTTGAGATCAAAAATCACTAATTGCAAAAAGCAATCATAATATTCCAATTTCAAATTAGAACATGTTAAGGCATAAACAAAATAAGCTATTACTTAAAAGCATAATAATTTTCAATGTATGTAATACAATTTTGTATGCAAATCTAAATGACCATGAACACAAGATATAAAAATAAGAGATTTAAGAATGATATTTTAATCAATACTGTATAGGGGCAATATTCCATGTACTTTAAAAATACTAAAAACCAAGTAAAGAATTTTTAACCTAATAATATAGCAATATTCAGTATTGATCATACAACCAGTGGAAGTTCAAATACTTATATTCAAAATTGGCGGATATAGGTAACGCGACCAGAGCACAAGAATGACGCAGATGGTGTCATCTATTTATTTAATTTTTGAACACAACCTGCGTTATAATAGTCAGATTATTCTTGATGAAGACACTCACCAGTAGAAATGATGATGTGTACCGGAGAGAGAGAGCCGGCTTCTGCAGTGCGTTGAATGAAACACAACGGTCAGACTCCGGTAACATTTCAAAAGAGCACCCGGACGAGTGAGGACGGTAAGAATGACATAATGACTTGTGTGTGTGTACGTGTAAGTCCGAGTGGTGTACAGGACTTTCGTCGGGTGAGACGGAGACGACAGGACTGGACCGACTCCAGATGACGGCTGAGCTCAACGTCCCCAGCGTTGGCTGAGGATTGGACCGCGCTGGTGTGTGGGTGTGAGTGTGTGCGCGTGTTCGGCGTTCGGTTTGATGATCAGTTGTGTGTCACAGTCGTGGTAGTCGTCGTCGTCGTCATCGTCGGCGGCCGCGTTCCTTGTTGTGGGCCAGACGACGAAAGCGCGACGGCGGCTGTTTTCCACACACACGCGCGCATCCGCGCTCCGGACGAGCGGTGACGGTCGCGGGGAAAAATAATTGGACGGAAAATTTGTTTTTATTTTTTCTCGCTCGCACTCTCTCTCACCCTCTCACACTCTCACTCACCTCTCCCTCTCCCACTGTCACGCACACATCATTATTATTATCTGTCTCGCTATCCCTGATATCCCCGGCACACCAGCGACATCATCGGTCGCGGGCTAATAACAACAATAATAACACGACATATTATTACTATTATTATTGTTCGGACGGCGGCGGCGGTGATAAAGCGATGACAATACGCGACGCACTCACCTCGGGCACTCGCGGCACGTCTCTCGATCGCTCGACGACAGAGCGCGCGGCAGCCGTCGTCGAACGGGCCACCGCCATCGTAGCCGTCCGTGGGCGGGTGTACGGGGTCGTGCGAGTGCGCGCCGTCCTGCCGGACGGGCAAGCGAGAGAGAGAGAGACGATAAAA